AATGAGATCGCGGAAAAGAAAACATGTAGTTTAAAATTTAGTCGAAAAACATATATTAATCACTTTACTCGGATAAATGATGACGTGACCAAATTAGGTAATGCCACGACTTTAGTGATTTCCTACGTGGTATTTCCTAAGGTAAGGGACGTGGCAAATATGGATTCTCCGTCAGTTACTTGACGATCGAGGTGTTAAATTAGGGGAAAGCGCAAAATCTGACCCCAATCCATCATCGATTGGGCAGAATTAGGTCAAATGTCCAAAAACTATAGAAATCGCCACTGCCAATTGGAGTTCAATAATTGATTTCGATTATAAAAAATATTGAAAGAGAAACACGAAGATGTCGACATCTTTATTTTCTTCTCCGCCTGGCTGTTGTGGATAGAAGGCCTAATTGAGGACTTCGAAGACGAGTTCGGATCTTGGCAAAAGATTCAATAGTTAAGAATTGAAAGCAAAGAGGCTGCAGTTTTTTCATGTGTGTCGAACCAACATCTCAAATCAACTCAGAAACTTCATTTGGTATGAATAATCAAAATTTGGGTTGTAAGGGTCAAGAATCTGAAATGACGATTGTTTTGCTTGAGACTGAATTGAAAGTTCTGAAGATGAAGATTTTAATGGGAAACCTGATTCTCAAATGAAGTTGATGATGGATAGAATTAGGAGAATTCAGTTGTTTATTCTTGATATTTGTATTGATTTGATCTTATGTGTTTTAGTGAATTAAAACAAATTCTGTTCATTCAAGCAAATGCGAGATATTCTTTGATTGATGTAGTGAATTTGTGTTGGTTGCTTATGAAGTGGTGTTCTCTGAATTAGCATACTTATCAAAAAAATTTATTATTTGAATTAGCATACACTGAAAAATAACAAACAATAGGCATTAAATATTGCAGTGGGGATCAAATATGAAAACAACAATGCAAGATGAACCAAACATGAAAAAATAAGCACTTCAAAACAAGGATCCATAACAATTTGAGGATCACCTTGACTGCTAAAATATCCATTCTCCATTAAAGGGTCAAACAATCAATGTTACATTACGGCTTCAAATCCAAAAATCACCATCACAATTCACAACAAAATCACCATTCATAAATCACCATTCACATTTACATCACAACAACATACCATAACATTCACCATAAACCATAATCATAACCATTCAAACAAAAACAACATCACATAAGAATAGCCATTCAAACCAAAACAACATAGTTTTCGCCATCCACATCTTCCAAGTACAGAACACAAATAATTCAAGTTCAGAACACAAAGAAAATAATCATCCGACATTACACCAATTTCTATTTTTCTTTGGCACATTTTTTTTTTTTTTTTTTTTTTTTTTTTTTTTTTTTTTTTTTTTTTTTTTAAGATTGTTCAGGCCTGACATAAGGGCAGACACAAATATGTACTTGTGTCCTCCTTGAAATATTTCTTAAGCCTAGTGCCCTCTCCAAAAGGCAGCTTTCTTGACTTGGTATAAATTGACCTACTAAAAATGTAGGAGACCCTCTAATATTCACTCCAGAAGTCGGACCCCCTACATAAAAGATGTTTGAATGAATTTTGGGTCTGTGGATTGATGTTTCTCTCCTTTCTTTCCTTTTTGGTTTGACCTTCATCCTGCAAGATAATTTAGGATATAAATACAACTATTTTAAAACCATTGATTTCAATGATAAAACCATTTATTTCTTACAACAACACCCTCTTGAGTTGAAATTCCTGTTGCAGGAGCTTTGTCTGTCATCATTTTAGCCTGAAAGAAAAATATTTTCTTTTGCTAAACATTTTAACATAATCTGAAGTCATTATTAAATTGAAAGCAACATTATAAAAGTACCTTGAGCTTTTGAGGCATGTCTTTGAAACCAATGCCTACAAGATATTCATTACATTTCTTCATCAAAAGGCACCCCTTTTGTTGTGGTCTTCCACGTGGCAGAAACTACACTTCAACCCTGGTTGCTGCCTTTTGATAGTATTGGTCTAGGTGACAACTCTAGGCTTAACTATTTTTTTCTAATTTTTCTAGGTTGAACCTCGTCAGGTTCCATCCTCCTCGCTTTGGTGGGCCTACCAGCTGCACTACTATCCTTAGGTGGCAATGGAGGTTGTTGTTTCTCCGGCTGTGAGTAGGGATCGTCTACCTGGAGTGGTTCGGGTCGCGGATTTTGGCTTCTGTTAGGTGTTTAGGCATATTCGAGAGTGGGTTCTCGGGCTGTGGCCTAGTCCATTGGGGTGGTCGGTCGTGGGTTCTGCTAGTGCTTGGTGTTGGGCCTGGTGTAGCTATTGTGGTAAGGTCCTTTGCTTTTGTTTGTTTCTTTAGGTGTGTTTGTCTGTGTTTTGTGGTTTTATCTTGGTTTTTGGGTTATATTTTTTCTCGGTTGGTTGCTCGTATTATCCCGATGAGATCTGTGATTCTCAATTATTGGTTGTTCATCGTTTTGTGAGTGCATTTTCTAGTATTGCTAACTTAAGTTCTAGATGATCTTCGGATAAGTCCTCCCATTTTTAGTCGGCTTTTTAACTGTCATTTGGGGCTGCTTTCTTGTTTTTACATTTTGTGTGTTATTTTATAAAATCACTATCGTTTCGCCAAATAAAAAAAAAA